TAAGGCATATTGAAATACAGACATTTTATGTATCACTTAAGAGATTGCATATGTAGCAGGGCAGTGTTGGGTAAGATAACCAAATTCTATTTAAGTCTGATGTTTAGTTTTGTATCCTGGCATAGAGTGCTGTGCATGCAACAAAACTGTCATCCCTCACATCAGATCTTTAGGAGACACTGTATTAAAAGGCTAGACTGGACTATCTCTTAAAAATATTTTTTTGTATTGCCTTTCTTATGTTGCTTTATCTCTGATATTCAGTGACAAAAGAATTGGATGATGGAGGAGAGAAGGCATATTGGTTCCAAGCTTGAAATAAAATTGACATGTTATAGCAGTTCTAAATTCTGTGTATAGAATTCAGACTGATGGAGGTTGCTAAGAAAGATAAAAAGGATTTGAGAAAACCAAAAGGATTTGAGTTGCTTTACCAGTTATAGCAATAGTTTCTGAGAATATTATAAATTAGAATAATCTGCTTTTTATATATTTATTTATTATTATTTTGTATATTTTTTTGCTACATCATTATGTGCACCAGTGTTAACTTGCACATTCAGTCTGATGATTTAGAGGCAATTGGCATCCTGCTTTGCAGAAAAGGATTGCAAGAATGTAAGTATTAGATTACCCTTTTTTTTTTCTTTAATCTGTACAAATCTGAAAATAAATGTTTTAATTTGCATTGACTGGAGCCAGGAACAAAGCAAACAATTGTAATTCTCTGCTCACTGATAATGTGATGGCTCCAGCATAGCATTCTGTACTGAAGAGGAGTTTTCCCCTCTGAAGAAATCCAGACGATAGGATGACACCACTTACTAAAATAATGCAAAATGTTTCAGCCACACATGCACTTAACAAAGGACATAATCTCTGGACTTGTCCTTATGTGGTCACTTTTATCTGAGTAAGCACCAGTGCATTGATTAGAAAGGGCTGTAAACACTGCAGCTTTTTGTATGGCTGTGAATCAGGAGTGTGTTTGGAGCAGAATTAATTTTGTATCAGAAGAAATAATTCTGCAGGCAAGCCTCAGTGCTTGGAGATATTTTTTGGCTTACCAGCTGCCTTCCCAGACTGCTTTTATCTGGCACAGACAAGCCTTTCTGTGGCACTTCTATCATATGTGTTTGCAGAGAACAGATATTGACTTCTTATTCTGAATGCTAGCTAAAAGCAGTGTTCTCTGTCATTGCTCTCAAATCCTGTAAGAGTCAACATCATCTTCTTTTCCTGATAACTCTTTGTGTGCCTGATCACTATGTCTGCAGTTAGACCCATACAGAGACCCTAAATGCTTTCTCCCTGTGGGAAAAGGCTACAAAGAAAGATAAGAAGCTTTCATGATTAGAGGTAAGCCTTTTTAAGGCCATTGTGAAGCTATCGCTATGGGTAAATTATTAGAGCCATACTGGGGTGCCACATCTGCTAGAGGTTCCATAGGAGCATATCAAGCCTGGAAGTTATATCCATGGAATCTTTGACCTGCCTATCTTCAATGTGGATCTGAATAACTTGTTAGTGGTGAGCCTCATTTCTACTGCCTGAAGAATCAACCCCAGGGACCATGGGGGAGAGAAAGCCTTGCATAAGATGTGCCCCATTGCTAGTCTCAAGGGAGTCATGGCATCCTGATACTCTCCCACCTCTTCTCTCAGCCATGCTGTCATCCCTGGAAACACTGATGAGCAAGAACAAAGGCTTATTTGTATCTTGGTTTTGCTTTAGCTGTATACTGAGATTCACAGATGGCACTTGCTTTTGGTCCTGCCATAGACACTATCATGTTTGAAAGAGGTAAATGTCCATTATGTTCAATTTCTCCTCCCTCCCAACCCAACAATTCAACATCACTATTATAACTGCACATAAAGTAGAATCTCCATTTTGATAATGAGGTATTAGTCCTGAAAATTGCTGTGCTTTCCCTCTAAACTTTGCATAGCCTTTCCTATCAGCATACACAGAAAATAATTTCTCTATCTAGATTTTCAGAAATGCTTTAATAAAACATAACTCTCTAATGTTCTTAAGCATAAAACCATATCAGTGCAGCTGATAATATCCAAGATGCAGTTCAGTAGACTTACCTGGTATACAAAAAAAGAAAATTTGAAAGGTGTAGTTTCATACCTGCACCTGCCTCAAGATCACTGCAAGGTTGTTTTATTTGTATGACAAAAGTTGGGAATATCCATGTGGGCACAATAGGATTTTGGAAAAGAAAGTGGTCCGTGAGGTCTCTAATGTACACCAAGTCCCCATCCTTGCCCATGATAACAACCACAGAGCAGTGTTTTGGTGTGCAACCTCCTAGGTAGTCATCAGAATGCACCTGATGAAGTCATGAACTTTTAATATATCAGAAGGCCTCATTATCTAAATTTTTCCTAAGACTGTGCAGCAACTTCTTCTTTGTAGACTTCATAGAACCATTAAAACTGACCAAAACACAGTAGTTGCTTACAACTCACCCTCTCTGACCCTGCTCCCCAACCAGGCTGATCTGCAACATCCAGACTCTCTAAACATCTTTGTGTTAACTTTCACCAAATACTTAGTGAATGTGCTACTTCAGGGAAAACAGTAGTAGTATTAGTGATAATAATAATAATTAATACACATAAGAGGCCTGCAGAGAGCTTGAGGATGTTCGTTGCTTTCTGAAAATCCTGTCAATGTAAAGTTTTCAAGAACTATCTGTGTTGATAATAAGAGCAGTATAGAAAGGGTGATTCTGGTTAATTCTCAGAATACATTCTGGGATTGTTCCCCACTAGTCTATCAGAAACTTGTAGTTCACAGTGAAGTAAAACAAAAAGTTCTTTCATATACTTTAGACAAGTATTAGAGGTACTTAAACCAGAAGCTACATCACCCTGAATGCTTTCCATAGTGTGTTTCTAGAGGAGGAAGTCACTAACCCCCAGCCAGAAATACTTCTGCAAAATATTTTCCTCATTGTATTGTTAAACAAGAAAGTCTAAGGATAGTCCTAGCTTGGATACCTTGCTCCATTTCCTTTAGGCCTGTGTTTGCAACGTTAAATGTGTCTGCAAGACTATTTTACTATGAGTACCTGTAAATGATTAGAAATTATTATTAAATGACTTTTACATGTTTGTTAAGAGCATAGATTTTTAAAAAAGCTGTAATTCATCTTGACTTTGACATTTGTAAATGATAGTAAAATCTAGTAAAAATCTGTTATTTAATATGTCATCATTAGGCTATCTAGGACTCTAGATATTTTATTCAGTGATTGTGTGTATGTTAAATATCAGTGTAAAATAGTGAATAACAAATTGTGTTCTGCTGTAAAAAAAAAAATTGTCATCCAAGAGCATTTAATTACAGCTGTTTATGTTGAAAAGGCTGAAGACCATAGAACAATGTGCTGAATGGAATGAGCAAGAATTGTCACCCTGTGCTTTGCATGTTAAAATTAATGAGGGCAGTCCAAACAAAATTATTTGCATTCTGTCCAACTTTGGCTTGAAAACACCATACAGTTCCACAGAATAGCTTAATTGCCTAGCAAAATAATTGCCAGGCATGGGGAGTAATATAATTTATATGTCTGACCATGAAATGAACCAGGGAAACTGCTGTTATTTAACAGCTTGTTTTTGACTTATCTTGGCTTTATAATTGTTATAAGCATAAATCCAGATGTTGATCCCTGCATGTTGATCTCATGTTTCATCTTCCTGCATCCTGGCATTATGGCTTTGTGCATTCTGTGGGTCTGTGAAACTGTCTAATGGGGGAAATCACAGGTGGGAGTGGGAATGGTCTGCACCTGAGAGTGATGTCTGTCTCTGTCCTGCTGTGCTTCAGATTCTGTGGAAACAGTATGAGAAAAGCTGGTTGTGCTTAGGAAGGTTACAGCATAGTACTGAATCTGATCTGCTTCTTAATCCAATAAAATGCTAAGTTTATGGAAGTTTTTAACGCTATAGTTTTAATGACTAATTTCTATTTTCTGGGCAATTAATGCCTTACAGTCTTGTTTTTTCTTTCACTGACTTCCTCAGGATTCTCTAAGTACTGAATAGGAGAATGCTCTTGAAGCATTTGAGTCTACTTTGGTGAGTGTGTTTGTAATACTCTGCTTATCTGCAGGAGGACATAATTCTCAACAGGTAGAATAGGAAGCAAAATTCACTATATGCTTAGGTGAGAGGTATCATGCTAAATCTGTGTTTGGGAAACAAGCTATCTGGGTATGTGTTCTCTCATGTAGTGGCTTAGTGTACAATTGCTTATATTCATGTGATTTCCCAAGGCATCTTCTCTTTGTTGGTAGGTATTTTTGGAAAGGACTTGTCCTTATTACATGATTATTCCTTTACTGATATCATGTTCAAGTGTATGTGAAGATAAATACGGCTAAGAATAGGTGCCTCAAATTGTAGTTTTGAGAATAACTACAATTCTGTTTCTTGTTGGAACACTCTTTAGCCTGGAGGAGAAATTATATCTCACAAGAGTACCATGCTGTCAGTGTTTCTTTGTATCAATACTGAGCTCTTGAAAAGACCCTGATCTTTTTGGATCAAGAAAGCTTGCTATTTTAGTGGTGGGACTAGGCATCTTCAGGAGGGATTTTTTTGGTCTGTTTATATTTCAGTATTTTCATCTGTGCTGCCTTTAGCCAAATAGTCTTTGCTCTTCTCTTTCCTTTCCCGTAACTTTTCCTTTAAATTGGTAGCTGGAATTTACTGGCTGTTCTCAGTGAATACTCCATGTACCCATGGTGATGTAGAGGGGAATGAGTGGGATCATGCATAGCTTCATCTTGCCAAGTATTATGTGAAACTCCAGTATTAGTTACTTAGCAAAAAAAAAAAAAAAAATAAAAATGAAACCCAAACCAGCAGGACAAAACCCACACAAAATCCCCCCTCACACCTAGTGAAGACAGGTAATCAGTTACAAAGAATGACAGCAGATTGCAAATCAATCTTGATGATATTTTTTTTCTTCAACAGGTCCACAGTCACGATGTAATCTCCTGTAAAATGGAAACCTATGAAGAAAGATACAGATAGCAGTTGGAATTAAAAGTAGTGGACAAATATTTCTCTTCTTAAGCATCAACTTTTTAAAACGCTATGGTGATTTGGAAAGTCCCAAGAGTGAACTGCAAAGTTTTCCTCAGCTCAGTCGATGGGTTTCTTAGTCATTTCTCCAAGTCATTGATGTTCAGAGATGGTGTGTGATGGAAAAAAAGCACCATGTCTCTGTGTTCATAGCTCCTGTTTTTTGGATTAGTTTGCTGCATTGCTGAATCGATTTCATTTTGAAGGGCAAGGAGTGAATGTGATGGATTTATCTTCAGAGATGAACAAACATGGAAGGAATCCAATAAGTCACAAACTAGAAGATCAAAAGAAGGTAAGATTATTTTTAATTATACTCAGTTATATTTGAACCACTTACAAACTCTTTGATGATTTTCTGTAAACTGGAAATTAATGTGCTTTTGAGGATAAAGTAGCCTGCCATGCTTGCACAATATTGCAGTATAGAGAACTCCCCGAATTGTCTAGCAAACTGATTGTCAAAACCTGTACTTGCTGGCCTGCTGATCTGAAGTAAAAAAGCCTGAGACTGTGTGAGATCTTTGTTTTTTTGCAGTGAATGTGTGGATAGATCCTTCTCATTCTATTCTACCAGTAGTTCTTGTTGTTGTTTCAATTTTATCCTTCAGTATCCAAGGTAGTTTAAGCATGTAAATTCATACTTTTATGATATGAGAAATTCTTTCAGAAATCCCATTTCTGCAATAGGCTATCCTAAAAGACTCACATTCCCAGTTCATCTCCTTTACTTACTTATACTATGATCTGGAAATGTTTCTAATACTTATTACATACACTCAATTGATGCTTTTTAATATGTTTTGGGAAATAGAAGAAAGACCCATGCCTTATTGGTCTTTCGGTATTACAGTAAAAAACTTTTTCTGAAAAAAGTTTTTTGGTTGCTTAGTTTTATGGGGGTTTTAATCTGTAGTTTATTAGAAGTTCAAAACTCTCTAGTTGTCTTTGTGCCTGGGCTGTAACATAAAGCCTGCACTGAATGGCAGCCAGCAGAGAGGATGTGTTCTGGTGTAGCAGCTGTGGCTATGGTGTGCTTCATACAAGGCCTCAAATTGAAATTCACTGATCTCTTTGAAGTATTGCATATTGGAATATTGGAATATTGGATTATTCCACTGCTTTACAGTGGGACTGTCCAAATCATGCATTGAAGTGAAGGTTATGAACTTCATTATTACACAGACTGATAATAAATGCTGCTGGGTTGGGTCTTTTTTTTTTTTTTTTTTTTGTATGAATATTGCTGTCTAGTGTTTTAAATAATTTTGATCTTGTTTGGGAAATTGGGATAATTTATGGGCAATCTAAATGAAACAACTTTAAGACCTATAAAGTCAAATACTTGGGTTTAGTGCTTCTGAGATTTGTATACGTTAATCTAAGTCATTCAGTCATAGCCAATAGCCCTTTAAAGTGCAGAGAATTGTAGGAAATATATGATGATAACACACATGATGAAATTATTGTGGAAAATGTATTCAGCCTTTGAACATTTTTTGTGTAACAGAGAAGAGGGTGAGGTATATGATAAAGGATAACTGGTTTACAGCATGGGACTTTCTCCAATTCATAATTCTTACCCTTCTGTGGCACAAAAGAAAAGCTGAGAAACACTGGTATTTATCTCACCGTCCAGTGAACTGTTTTCTGAACCATTATGTGATCTGGAACAGAGTATGCTTGATTCCCCTTTTCCAGCAACCCCCCTCTTATTTCAAAAGGATTTTTTCCCCTTCATGTCTAATACCTGCAGATTCACTTCTAGAAACTAACTCTTCAGATTGCTTAGGAGGAGAAGGTTTGTTTCAAAGAGGATCTGTTGTATCTCAAGGTCAAATCTTTTCTTTGAGCCAGTCTGTGGATATTTTATCCAGCTGCAGAACTACGAAATGACCACCAAAGGCTCTGCAGCTGGTAAAAGACTGTTTCTGTACTGTGGTTAATGTGTAGAAGTAAATGTGATGATAATAAACAGGAGTCTTGCTAGTTTTCATTTCATTCAGGGACCTTTGAAAATCACTGATGTGCTAGTATCATTATAAAAGGCTAATATTTTAATAAAAGAAGGGCTTAAAAGTGATGGGCAAACATAAGAAATAGTTGTCATTTGGCTCTTTATGCTGCATTGGCTCTAAAGCAAATTTTGAAATAAATGGACCACTTTTCATCAGTTCCCTGCCACGTGTTGTCTCATTGGGCTTGGCTGGGCAGTGGGTTGTAGCGATTTGTTTCACTTTCGCTCTCTCCGATTCAGGAGTCCCGGCACAGCGCATCGAGTTGGCAGCTCCCAGCTTGGCTGCTGTGCCGGAGAGGCAGGGATGGGTTCCGGGGTTGGCTCAGACCCCGCAACAACTTTTAGCAGTGGCAAACCCTGTCCCCTACAACTCCCCACACAAGGTGGGGTGGTGCCCCCGCTTCAGATGATGGTGTGAATATTCATCGCTATAGCTCCCTTTCCTGGCTTGAAACCATAACAGGGGCTGATCAAAACCAAATGAAAGTGAAGGGAAGTTTGTAGCACTTCACCACTACCAACCTAAATATATGCTTTGGAATTAAATGTGAGAAAGTGCAAGGATCTCAGTTGTTTTCAGAACAAATGGCATTGTTTCCTTCAGTCTTTCTTTTTGTAGGCAGATGAGCCACTGTAGTCAGAGGGGTTTTTAAACAGACACCAACACTCTATTACTGGACACTAATTAAATGTAATTAATTAGCAGAAATACCAAACAAGTCTTGTCTACTGGTAGATGCTTTGCTGATCTCCCTAGTAGCCATTTGGTGATTAGCTAAAAGTCCAATAATCAGTCAGTTTTTGCTTGATAGGGTAAAGTAGTCAAAAGCAGTCTTAATATGAAATCCTTTAAAAAAATCAAATCAAGGGAGAAGGTTTAGAAGGGACAGATATAATAGGAATAATCAACATGTACATCACACTGTTCCTCTGCCTGTTTTGTCTTGGTTGATATTCAGTGCATGGAACAACGTTTCAGGAAAATCAGATGTCATCATCACAAGGCTGTTGGGCCAGAAGCATAATTTGTTTTCATGAGCACGGTCATACTGCTGTGCCTCTGCTCCCCATTTTCATACCTCAGTTCTCCTTTTTGCAACTAATTCTGTAGTCACCCAAAAACTGTTTTAAAAATAATGGCATGAAATCTTGGGCCTGCCACAGTTGTTGCTATTCTTGTTTAGTAGCTCATTTTCATTTGAAGACCTAGGATCTCAAAGATGTTGCTTTGTTATATGAATAAAAAGTTATTTTTTTCCATTTTTGTTTTTATTTCTCTCTGGTGCTGCTCTAACTGAGCTTTCTCTCTCTTCCCTTCACCCTCTCCAGTCCCTTCTACACATATATACATTATACGTGTATGTTCTGTGCAGTTTTTGTCCATCTGCACATCTGTGTCTCTGTCAGGGGATGCTTTGCAAACAACTGGAGGTCTGCAGATCTGGTGAAGAGTCAGAGACTCATTAAGCTCAATGTTCACTATTATCCCTTAGTGCACAAGGGCTGGCAGGGGTTTTGTGGTTTGTTTGGTTTATTTGGTTGTGGTTTTTTGCTTGGGTTTTTTTGTGTGTGTATGTATTTTTTTGTTGTTGTTGTTTTTTGCTTTGTTTTGTTTTGTTTTCCAGGATGTATATTAAGTATTTTAACCAAAAATAGTAAAGCAAGAGAATGGTGAGGGGTCTTCAGGGCTGAGGGAAGATATTTTTTTTGTTTTTTTCTTTGATACCATAGAATTAGGCACAGACAGAAAGAACCAACCCTGCTGACAAAAAGAAACAGTCTGTGGGAATAAAACTGTAGCTGCTTTTCTATATCAACTTGTCATATATTACCTCTGTCATGCCATTCCTTAAGCTGTTTCCCTTCAGACTCCCTGCATTTTCTGTTTCAAAAGTTTTGCTAGAAAGGCTTGAATTATCTCCCTGTCTGTCAAACCACCCTGGGGCCCCACCACCTGACTCCTCTCACTGTCTGAAATTGTTCTGTGCACTCTGCTAGGGCAGTTCAAATTAAAAAAAAAAACAACCACCACACAACCTTCACAGGCTCAATAAATGGAGTTAAATATCATTTTATGATATATAAGCCCATATTTAATAATTTAGAAAGTAAATTCATGTCCTCTGCTGCATATAATAGGACTTTTCCTTCCTATTAGAGAATCATGATATCAATAAGGTAGTACGTATTTCTGTTTTATACTTTTTCATTGCCTTCCCAAAGCCACTATCTGTGACAAGAACTTGATTACAGAGAAGTATTTTGTCCTACTGCTGCACCAAAACAGCTAAGAAATTAAATACTGATTAAATTATTTATTTCCTTAAAAAGATACTGGCTGGCAGTTTTTTATATTATGTTAGTATGCCATGGTTTTGTAGATGGTCCCTTTCCTTCCTGCTTGATATCAGCTTTATCTTAAAGTTGTTGCTGTTAATGCATGCCTGATAACTAAAAAACCCTTGGTTTTATTCAGGAATACCAGGTAAAAGTTGTTGGAAGGAAATCATCTGCTTTGCAGTTGTTACTGCTGGCAGATTTTTGCTTAATCAGATAGCTGAAATGAATACTATTCTGTATGTATGCATACAACAGGATCTTGGATATGCACTACAGAGTCAAGTCAGAGGAAAAATGTGGCTTTTCATTTGGGTTGATTACTTTCCTTCCCCTCACCCCCTCCCCAACAAACAAACAAACAATTTACTTACTGGCCTTGGTCTTCACTTACTGTTAAAGGCCCAGTTTCCAATTTCTAGCAATCACATTGCTAGTAGTAAATATGCAAAGCATCTTGTCTCAAAAGGTCTTCTCTAATTTGGAATAATATACAATGGCTAAGAAACAGAAAGCAGTGAAATTAGTGGAAATAATATCTCCTGTGCTCAGGGTTTGATGGTTACAAACTACTTACAAGGTGTTAATTTGTTAAATATAAAAGGGAAAAAAAGACTAACGGACTTTCCATTATAAATCCTGTTTTTTGATTGCTGTTGCTCCTAGTTTTTTCAAACAAAGCTCTTGTTAGCCTCAGTACAAAGACTAATTTAAGTGATAATAAATAGCTAAGCTAGTAAATGAAGTCACATACATTTTTTGTTGTTTCTCTGCAGTGGCATTGCAAAGTTTCTGTAACTGTTATTTAGTATTTTCCTACTCTTACCCTTGTTATCATAGAATCATAGAATCAACTGGGTTGGAAAGGACCTCTGAGAACATCAAGTCCAACCCTTGATCCACTACCACCGTGGTTACTAGACTGTGCCACATCCAGCTAT